TGAACTCTGTTATATTTATGCTTCACTTCGATCAGCTGATTTATGTCATACGATTAAAAGATCATTCTTCTCTTGTTCTCAGACTGACTAGCTTCTTCACCGTTTGTTCCGGGTTCATCCTTTGCTTCTTCTTTACGATCACTTTCATATAGGTTCAATCCTTGCACCTATATTTGGTGACCCCGACGTGATTCTTGTTAAGGTCGGTTCTTCTAAAGTCACCCGATTGATCTTCACGCTCCTTTTCGAGAATCTTGCCAATTTTTTTTCAATGGCTCCAACAAAAAAGTGCATCGAGAATGAGAAGTTGGCCTGGGACAAATTCGATAACCTTAAAGTCAGATTAGACGCTCTCACCTCTTTTGCTGAGAAAAAGTTGGAAACAATCTCGGCACCCGCTGCGTCATCAACCTTTAATTCCATCCTTAGTCTCAGCCAAGAATGCTCTTCAGCTTACGAGACCTGGTTGGAATTGGCTTCTTCTATCACTCTTCCGGAAGAAAAAATCTCCGAGGTAAAGATCGGTTTTAACAATGCATGTGTTACAGCTGATTGTATCCTCATCGAACTGGGAACAATTGCCGGTATCAAAGGGCCGTTACAAGCTGATGGTGATGAGGTCAAGACGTCATCTTCCAGACTACCCAAGGTTGAACTTCGCCAGTTCGACAAGGGCAACACTCGCCTTTGGTTTGACCACCTGGAAGTTGTTTTTCGAACGAAAAACATCGAGGCTGAAAACCAACGTTTTGCTGCCCTGCTCAAATTCTTGGACGAGTCGACAAGTTCCCTGTTGTCATCCATCACGAGGTCAGAGGCGAAAAACCAATATTCACAAGCGAAGCGTCTGTTGATAAAGGAATTTTCATTGTCGAAGTACGACCGAGTAAAAGCGTACGTACACGAAGTCTCACCCATGGCTGATGAGCGATTGACGCATTTCGCAGCAAGAGTGGATGTACTTTTCGAAGACATCACGATCAACGATGTCAGGAAATTCTGCCTCTTACGTCACGCGCCAGCTCCAGTCAGGCTGCAGTTGGCCGGAAGCAGATTCGAGGACCTCGAGTTGCAGGAGCTTCTGCAAGAAGCTGATACCTTGACTCAGCGTGCTACGCAAGACGCACAACTCGTTGCCGCTTTTCAACCATCAGCTGGAAAGAAAAAAGAAGGCAAGAAAAAGGTTTGCTTCTACCACTTGAATTTCGGCAAGGATGCTCACACGTGTTCCGGAGAGGGCCGTTGCATTTTGTGGAAGTCAGGACTTCGTGTCGGCAAAAGGGGAAACGACCAAGAGGGCCCTTTAAGAGGGTAAAAGGTTCCTCTATTGATTTTCCACCCTCTGATTCCATCTGCTGTTCAGTATTCAACGCCGGAAATTTCCTCATCGATTCTGGCTCTCCGTTGACGATTGTTCCAGTTCCCGCTAACGACGTCGGAAAACCTCGATCTGAAACAGGTCTCCTAAGCGCCAGCGGCGAAAAAATCTTCTCCTACGGAAGAAAGCCAATCGAAATTCCAATTAATAAATCAATTTACCATTACGAAGCGTCCATCTGTAATGTCGTCCGTCCGATTCTTGGACGTGATTTTTTCCAGGGTCCTGGAAAAGATCTTTTACTAGACATCTCTCAGAAAAAGCTGGTTGACAGAAACTCAGGGTCACCTGTTGCCAAAACTCCTGTGCACATACTCCAACCAGACGTGGTGGCAGCTGTGGAAGGTTCGAGTTCCATGGACCCTACAACCCCAGCTTTTCAGTCGGAAGGGCAACTAGTTCCCTTTCGGAAGCTTGCCGAAGTTGCGGTCAAGGAATTCATCGAAAAAATCGGATCGGATGACGGAAAGTCGCCTGCTTTGTTCACGCCGATACGCATCGACACCGGCGACA